TACTGATGATGAAGATGACGACGACACTGTTGATGTTGCGCATGATGTCAAAGATGATCGACGAGTCGCCATCTAGAGCAGCACAACATCATGAGCAGTATCACCGGCACCGGCGCCACAGCAAGAAGGAAGATAAAGAGTAGCACATAAGATCTTCAAGAACGGCGGATGCGGGCTGCACGACCACGGTAGATGCAGCAGGAGACATGAGTGGTGGTGAAGAAGATCAGAACAAGTGCTCTTAAAGTTCCGCGTAACAATAGTTGAGTCACTAATCGTGACAAGAGGTCCTTGTGTTACACGTGTCGCCAACTCCAATTCAGGCCAACCAAAGCCTCAGCTAAGGGGGGTGCAGAGCCCACCGCAACAAACCTAAGACCCCACCCCACAGGGGGCCGGGGAGGGGGCAGGGGGGATACCATGGGGTCGGGGGGGGAGGGGGGATGTGGCAGCCTTGCATATATGTATACGCATGCTTGCTTGCTTGCGCGATCTTGCGCGCCTTGCCTTGCCTTGCCTTGCCTTGCCCTGCCTTGCCTTTGCTTTGCTTTGCTTGCTTGCTTGCTTGCTTGCATGCTTCCTTGCTTGCATGCATGCGTGCCTGCATGCATGCACATGTGTATATGCGGAATGTATACGGAGAGGCAGACAGCTGGATAGCTAAATCGATGGATAAGTAGTTTTGGTCAGTCCATCAGGCACCCGCGTTTTCCAGCACTGCGCTGTCAGGGGGATGGATCTGCGTGCTTCAACATTTAATTCGCAGTTTTGAAAGCTCCAGTCTCAAGACCGTATCGTTGGTATAGGTGACAAGCAGTCGCAGTGGGGACAACAGCAGTAAACGGTGGTGGTCTTAGTGATAAAGCTGCGGTAGTAGCAGCGCTAATTCATTGCAGATGCAGGACAACAGCAGGGATAATGATGGATGACAGAGGACATTAACTGTAACATTCAGAATCAAGTGTTCGTCTGGTGATGAAGTGTTTGTATGCTCCGAGTGTGCTGAGCTCTGAGATCTAGTTCGCCAGTGATCACATGCATGGTCAATGCTTTGCTCGTAAGCGTCGTGTGTTGCAGAGCAACCATGACCCACCTTCCTCGCCTTGAGAATGCCCAGCAAGCAACCTCGAGCAAGTCATTATGTCATTATATGCTCGGAAGACACGAGTCCAGGCTTGTCATCCTAAATGCTAGCAGAAAGCGTGAACGGCAAAGCGCCTACGTAGTTGAGCTACCCTGCACCCTGAGCCATACACCACACAGTTGTTGATCTTGGAGTCTTAAGACTTGGGGCGCACGAGTTAACACTCACGTGGATGCAGCCAAGAGTTGCTGTTTCCGTCTGGCAGATGGCCGCCTGTACAGTTCTACCATATTTTTTTTGATTCTTCGCACCTCCCTTCCATCATGCTGCCGTCTTGAGGACACAGCTCGGTGCCTGTAGCCTGGATACATGGGCAGCGAGTGACAGCGAGTGCGCAGTGTGCGAAGGGGTGTTTATAGTCTGAATATTGTCCAACCACATTTTAGTGAGGTTTTGCATTTTTCCAACCTTCACCACAGTCCAAGCATCAGCTCATGCAGCCCCGCTGTTGCAACATGACAATTGGTGGTTCAATAGGTTCACTTTACTTCAACCCTAAGCCTTAAGCCCTAAACAATAGAAGAGCCTAAACCTTAAAATGCAGCCTAAACCTTAAAGTTAGTTTAAACCAGCTTGACAGTCGGAGCTGCTTGGAGCGGCGGCGGTGGTGTTGGATCCCAAGAGACTCCAGGTCCCCAAAAAATCGCAGAACCTACAGCCATACGCTGACCCGCGAGCCCAAAAGCCCCCAACGTAAGTCCTAGGTCTACGGCTGAAAACCCTAGAGCCTTAGACCTCAACACCCGGAACCCAAACTGTACGTCGATCGTGAGAGTGTTTCATAATCCTGGCATGGCAGAGTTTCGGGGAACCGTGCGACCGTGTGCGAGTGGCCAGGTTGCTTGAAAAAGCAGGAGTGTTTGGGGAGATAAGCAGCCGGGACAAGTATGCAGGGCTCAAGCTTCAGGAGGATTTAGAGCTGAAGGTGTTGGGGCAAGGTTTAGGCTTAGGGATGTCGGGTTCAGGGCTAAGAAGGTTCAGGCGTCTGGGTCTCGGAGTTTGGGTTTTTTGCATTCGCGAAAGCCCGAGTCAAGACTTCACAAGGCAAACCCGGGAGCTGGAAAGCTCAAGTCTTGAAGCCTAGGTTCAAGGAGCCGACGGTCAATTGCATGTCATGTGTGGCCGATTGCTGCAGCATCAATGCCACATCTTAAGATGTTTTCTCCGCAGTTCCTATGCCAGGGTCAACAGGTGCGAAAGCACAGGAAAGCAAGAAGCCCAAGGGCAGACCAAATGCAACCCGTCCCCGCGCCAGGTGCGCGTGCACATCGACCAGCAGGGGGGTCCCTCGAGGTGAGAATGATCTGCAGAGCACGCAACATCCAAATCCAGAAATCCCGAACGCCGCAGATGCCTTCTTCTCTGCACCCTGAAGTCTGCGTCGAAACACCAAACCGTAAGCCCTAAGCTATAAATCCCCAAAGCCTGAAACCTTACACTACACGAGATGGAATTAAAAGGCCTTGTCCACAGCAACAAAAGCCTAGGCCACTTTTGGGGCGGCTTTCCGTTCAGGAGCCCCGAAAGAGCCATCAGTCCGACCCAATCCCTGATTCTGAAGGCTCAGGGGCAGGCGCAAGCACGGGTAGAAGCACTTCAGCAGTTTTAACTTAGACGATCTAAAACCCCACTGCGATCTTTCCAAGGGTGGCTTGGACATTCATAAACTCCGAGAGGCCCCAGGTGCCCCCGGATTCGTACTCCGAAGCCCTGCCCTGAATCGAGAAAACCCTAAGCCTCAAAGCTTGCGGCCTCAACCCTCGAACCCCACATCCCTATATCCCAAACCCCAAATGCGGATATCCGAAAACCTTAGGCTCCAAATCCCAAGTCCCTGAACCTTAACAGGCGCATAGTGCGTCACGAGCTGCTCCCGGCAGAGTTTTCCCGGGCCGTGCGCTTCAGCGACCTAGGGGAGGTGTGGCGCTGGGTTTGGAGCTTAAGCTTAAGGGTTTCGGGACTTGGTGTCTAAAGTATTTGCTACAAGTATTTGGGTGTGTATAGTTTGGAAAGCTTAGGCAGTTCACTGTTGTTCGGGTTTCGGGGTTGATATGATGGTTTTTGCGGCTTTGAGGCATAGCCTAGCTTGCTGTGTTTTGTCTGTGTGTGTGTAGAGGCTTGGCAGGGTTCTGCAGGGGTTTCGCATGTTGAGCTGCTCTTGGATCAGCTGTGGGGTTGGGGTTCCGGGTTGGGGATCAGGCTTTTGGGGTTTAGGTCCCAACCTACTGCCTAGGTATGTTTTAGGTATGTTCCGTGTTTCGTGTTTCGAGCTTGTGGTTTCTTTGTGTTCAGTTTGGGGCTAGGAGTTTCAGGTTTGGTCAAGCCTCCCAACCTAATAGAGTGGGACATGCTGCAAAGCACTGACATGGAAAACCGGTGTAAAACTCGAGCCTTAAAACGGGACCCTGACAAGTCCAGAACGATGCAGCTTGGGCGCCCGACCTCAGACCTCAACCTCTGAGCTCCACGGCCCAACTTGCCAGCACAACACCTAAAAGTTGAATCACAACCAGCTCTCAGGCGTTAAGGGCCAGGTATACACAGGCATGGGGTTTCTGCGTTTGGCGATCAGGGTTGAGGGATTGGGTTTCGGGAGTATTTGGGCTCGGGTGCTTCGCGTGAATGGTTGTCTCCATGGCTGCCAACATGGACTTAGCGCCACCACAACTATAGTTTTGGAGCTTTGTAGCAGTGAGACTGGGGAAGAGCTCTGCTCCGTGCTAGCAACGCGGGAAGGGGTGATACGAATCCTCCTCCTCCTCCTCCTCCTCATCGTCATCGTCATTGTCGTTATAACAATAATAATAATAGATAGTAGTAATA